AAAAGCAGCATAAGCATTCAATCGCCCGTAAAACTACGTAAGACCCTTTATACATTTTCCACCAATAACAAACACCAGCTCTGGGATCATACACTGGATATAAGGATTAATCCAGCCCCACCACACAAGCAAGTGGGCCAGCATTGCAAACATTTTCTTATCAAATACAAATACAAACAGAAAAATTACACCCAACAGATTGCTCTAACACACTCTGGTCAGGGTCTGTCCCTTTTTGATTCTTCTTTCAGCCCTCTTGTGCCTCACGTTGGGCACGAAAAAGACTGTGTTGGTTTAAGCCCTGCCGGGACCGGAGACCACATTGCCGTTGCCCCTCCTTCACCCCCAGCCGGTCAGGCTGGCAGTGAGGCACAAACCCCGTGTTAAAAGAAGAAGAAATTTGATACAAGAGTGTGATAAGCAATCTGAACAACAACAGTAGCAATGATAACAACAATAAACAGTAATAACAGTGAACAAGACAAAAGATATACAGAGAAATACCGCAGTGGTTACAGACAGCTCTCTCACAATGCTCCCTGCCACCAAAGCCACAAAGGAAAAAGTTGCCGCACTCCCACGCTTGGACCTGATGTCAGCATGGTATGAATAACCCTCCTGGAGATCCCTTCCCCCTCTCTGCTGGGGTAACTTAACCCTATCCTAGCTGAACCAGGACACCAGCCTTTCCCCAGAATGCCCAGGGCCATTTTGGGATAATGGCTCCATGTAATGACCCATTTCAGGAAGATGCTCTCAGCCTGCCCTGCTGCAGTTGCAACTTGGAGCTCTGTACCACATCCTGAGGGATGTGGGACAGACTCTGAGGAGAAAACAGGCTTGAAGGCATTTTCACAGCTGATGCATTTTTAGACAGAGGCACCTTTGGTGTCTTCTGGCTTTGGTCAGCCAGAGAAATTTGCAGTTAGACTGCACCCTCCTGTGTGCTCTGGGGTGGATGCATGTGGTGGATGATGAAGGAACATGGCTTGAACAGCTCAGGAGGGGTCAAGAACCAGTTGGTGCTCACCAGGGCTTCCCCAAGCCCAGATGAAACAGAGTGTCTTTTCCTTAATCTAACCTTTAACTCCCATTTTGGTCAAACTGGGAGTCTAACTCAGGGGTCAGGGGAATGTTAATTATTATTTGCTAAGCCATCAGCTACAGACAGTGGCTTCTATTAATACAGAGAGGTCTACCCCTACTGCAGCCATTAACCATTTGGTTCCTCTGTCTTTCACTACACTTCCCAAAAAGTGAACCTTTCCAAATTAAAGACTTAATAATGTTTTGTTGCTGCCTTCTGGCATCATCACCCACAAACCTACAGAAATCCTACCCTGTTGCAGAGAGCAGCCATGCTGACAAGTGTGTCCTTTCTTTTCTACCCAAAGCTGAACTGCTGTGACAGCAACAACCAGCTCAGCTCTCAGGGTAACAAAAATCCACAAGGTCATGGGCTTTATTTCCCCCTACACTAGCTGTGGCCTGGATTTGATATCCACTCTGTAGAAAGCAAGTTTTAATATATGCAATAATTTCTTAATGAAAGAGGCAGACTACCTGTACTCTGAGTGAGAGGAGAAATTTTGAGCAGTAATAAGAAAACACCTAAGAATTACTCAGAAATTTGAAATCTGCTTTAATATAACAAGGAAAAGCAAGAAAAAAGAGTTAATTTTCACTTAACTTGAAGGTGACTCACACCAGGAAAACAGTAGAATTAATCAGGATATAAAGGAAGGAATCAGGACCAGCATCCAGTTCTGTGTCTCTGCACACTACAGGGATTTTGCTTGTTCATTATGTAAAAAAAAAAAAAAAAGCCCCTCACCTGTTTCAGCCCTTATGAAACCTCAACAGCATTGCATGGGATTACACCCATGGAGAGTTTTGCCTCTAGAAACTGATTCCTGTTAAAACAGAATATGAATAAAACACCGTATGCAGCTACAGAAGAGACTTACCCCATCCTCCCACAAGACTCAGACTGTGGTGCAGCGAGTGGCAGAGCAGCAGAAGAATCCAAACTCCCTCAGATTTGCCAAGAGAAGAACTGATGGGCAGGACTAGGCTCTGGTGACCCCCCAACTGTATGGTGGAGAGGAGAGCTCAGTAATGAAACTGTAGCAGCTTGGAGAACTACAGGCAGGAAAAGCAGCAGTTGATTTATAAGAACAGCTTGGTTTTGCTCAAAATCCTCCAAAAGCTGGAGGCTCTGGGGTTGCTCTCACCAGGGGAAGGTCTAGGACATGCTGCTAAGTGGAGCACAATCCTTGCGTGTCAAAGATGCAGGTGAAGCGGTTGCTCTGATGAGCAGCACGTAGGCTGATCCCACTGAGCACCAGGGAGCAGGGTCCAGCTGCAGCAGAAAGCATCGAGGAGTGCAGAGCGCAGCGGGGTTGAGGTGACACTGCTCCCCCAGACTGCTGGAGTGCCATCAGGTCAGTGACCACAGTGGCAGGGCCACATGGGGTGAGCTGGACAACCAGCTGGGGTTTCCAAGTGCCACAGACACTAATAAATGTGAGTAGCTGTAACCTCAAAAGCAGAATCTGACACCAAAGGGAGGGCTTCAGCTCTTTGGTTTGACCCAGCCTAAGTCCTCAGCTATAGCATTTAAATCTGGCAGATTTGGGGTGCTGTCTACTCTTTTGGCTTGGTAAAAGCTGCAGATTCAGTGGAATCATAAGATCTGGATGGGGAAGCACGCCCTGAGTCATACCAAATATTCCAAGCAAGCATCATACTGTAGGTCAGAAAATGTGAATTCTGAAACTGTCTCCCTGCTTCCTTGCCAAGCAAAAAAAAGCTCTAGAGGGCTTTGCTAAGATATTCAGAAGATGATGTCTGGCGTGTTGACTCCAGCAGTCTTCTGGTCCAAGCCCAACTCATGAAACTCACTGCCACCAGCTCTAACTTGTACAAACCCTTCACTTTGTAAGGCAGGACAACATCCATCACCGAGATTAAAAGCCCAGAGGGTGAAACCCTGATGCTCCATCCCAATGAACATTTTGGGACCAGATGGAAACAGTCCCTGCAGGAAAGTTATTCCATGGATGGTCAAGACTTGGTGCTTTAAAACCTCCCTGAATGCTCCTGCTAGCAGCCAGCACTGGGGTGAGCTGGACTTCTGCTTGCTCACTGTGGAAGGGTTGGAAACTCCTCTAAACTATTTCAAGCCAAAAGGGAAGTTTTCTTAGAAAAGTGTGGATTAGTGTACAGCCTACAGCTCACAGACTCTATTTAGAGCAGCACCAACAGCCCCCGCAGCCTCCCGCCCCGGGCTGTCATCTAAGGCGGTCTGAAGCCACACAGGGTGACTTCCCCCATCGCAGCACCCAAGGAGAAGCGTGGCCTGGGGCAGGGGCTGCACCGGGGCTTACAGTAAATGCTGTATTCTTTTCTGTACGACAGGGCCTGGACAGGCATGTCGTAGGAGGAAAGGATGAGGGAACTGGGGTTGTTTAGTCTGTTTAGACGAGGCTGAGGGGAGACCTTATGGCCCTCTACAACTCCCTGAAAGGAGGGTGCAGAGAGGGGGGGCATGAGTCTCTTGAGCCAAGGAACCAGTGGCAGGACAAGAGGGAACGGCCTCAAGCTGCACCAGGGCAAGGTCAGACTGTCTTTTTTTATACTAAAGAGCACAGCTCAGTGCAGCAGCTGAGCTGGTTTAGAGATGTGGCAGTGCACGGCATGTCTTCTCAGGAGTTCCTGTGTGGAGTTATTTTGCGTGTATTGTGTGGTCACAGCACAGCCCTTCCTTGCTGAGGAGTCACCCACCTCCCCTGTATGGGGGGTAAATGTGTGTCCAAGGGTGCTCCAGGGGAACAGCGGGGTGTGAGTGCAGAATCAGACGCAAACCCCCCAGGGGACTTAAGTTACCTCAGACTCAAGTTGGCTGCCCTTGTCTGCCTGGACCATCAGTCAACCCAGTTAATTGTGCAAATACCAATGAGCCCCGTGGGGGTCTGGACTCGAGCCGCCGGGTTGTGTTGCTCCCTCAGCTCTCGGGGGGCCACGCCACCAAAGACTGATGGATCCCGAGCTCACTGCCATCACTGCCTCCCACTGTGAGGTGTGTTTCTTGAGCAAGATTTTCTCCAACAAAGCTGTGAAGTAACTTGAATATTTGCAAAAAAAAGCCAAACCAAAGCAAAGCCTACAATCATCCAAAACAAGACTCTTGTTTGCAGTCACATGTTCCTCTGCATAAAGGATGAGAGAACAAACATTTGTGCTATAAATTCAGCCACAGTGGCTCACCCCCTCAGACCGTCCCTCTGCCAGCCACTGCCCTTGCTGGCTCCCAGGCTGGGAAAGCCAAAACCCATAGAGAGATGCAAGGCCTGAATGAGAACAGAGACAATCTAAACACCATATATGTAAAAGAGTTTATTGGAGGTAAACATGACATATTTACAATGATAAATCCAGCATGTGATCATCAGAGCAAGGCATTCCTGTCCCTTCACCTTTCCTTAGGGTGCAGCAGTCAGGACATCTGCCTGCCCCTTTCAGGTCCGTCTGTCCTGTGGAGGCTGGGAGCCCAGTCCTATCCTGCACCACTTCAATAATTAATCTAAACACTTTTTGCATAGCAAGTGCTCCCAGAAAATTCACACAGTGTAGCAGAAGAGCAGGGAGACGCAGCTACACATGCACCGTAAGACCAGGGCAGGCTCAACTCTAGGAAAGCAAAGAAACACCCAGAAACACTTCCTGAAGATTTTTCCTCCTGACACCTTCTCCATTTGTAGCTCTTGTTTCTCATGGATGTATCTGCAAGTGTTGGGATAGGCAGTGGGCACCTTGGGAAATAGCCACAGTGTCACAGAGCTGAGGCACATCTTTGCAGTTTATACTCTGAAATGTGCAGAAAGTGGTAACTTTTATCTCCTTTTACAAAAATATCTGAACACAAGGTGTGAACTTCATCTCCCAAGGCAAAAAAATGTCATCTCACCTAACAGTAGAGGTCTACATCCAAGTTACTTATCCAGCCTGCCTAGGGTGGAGGATCAGGCACTCCAAGTGCACGGTTCAGTCAGCTTTCTTCTGACGTTTAACTTCAGAGGAGATGAATCACTTCCCCCCACGTGCCCCTCTGTGCCGCACAGGGATCTGGATGCCCAGCTCAGGTGCAGAGCTCTACCTTGGGCCAGGTGACTGCTGCTGTGGGTGACTGAACAAACACAGTGTCAACTGACAGGAACATTTTGCAAACAACTGAGCAGCAGACAAATGTGCAAATGTATCTGGTGGTTACTTCTGGATAATGAATGCATAATCTATTCCGACTCCCTTCCCTATCTACTTCTGGATAATGCATCTGTGAGCCTGAGTCAGGTTTATAAATGGTTGGCAATGAGAAAAACAGGCTGCGTTTGAGCCAAACATTATGTTCAGCAAATAAGGCAGGCAGTTTGGCCATGGACATTTGTTGTTAGGAGCTCAGTGTCAGAATCCCTCCAGCGCTCAGCGACTCCCATCCTGCATACAACTGCTACGTGGGGTGGCAGAATGTGACAACTGACTTTTGCCTCTAAAAAAATCTAATTTTAAGCCTAAACTGCAGACTCTAGTAAAAGAGCAATATTGTATTCCTTCCCCATCTATCTGCTCATTAGAAAGTCACTCTTACATTTGGCTCAACTGCTGGGAATGCTCCAAAGAAATCTAATTACAGGGTCATTGCAGTAAATTGCATTTGGAGGCATAATTCTGAGTCACTGGTTCCCTTCCCCTTCCACCCTGGAGTAACTCATTTATTAAGGGTGAAGAAAAGCTGAACAATATTTACAGACTCCCAGTGTATGAGACTTAACCCAGAGCCAACATTTCCAAAGTCTCATGACTTCTGGGTGCCCTGGTGGAGGCAAGTTCTCCTGGAATGGTGACAAACTGGATGCCAAAGACTTTCCAGTCACTTTAGGAAATGCTGCTTGCTGGTCACACAGTCCTGGGGTGGAATGAGAGGAGACTGAAACCACTTGGAGGCTTCCCAGGGTTGCCCATGCAGGAGCAAATTTCGTTCTTCCCCCAAGAAACCTGCTCTCCATCTACTAGACCCTTTAGGAAGAAGAAAGAAAAGTCACTTCACTGTGTTGGGTGGAAAAAGCCTCGTCCCACCTTTGGCGATTCCGTTGCTGGCTGAGGTGTCTCCACCACCTCGGCTCCTCACCACACAGGGGGCAGTTCCCAGAAGGAAGGAGCTCGTTCCTTCTCAGTCATGCCAGGCTCGGTGCAACAGAGAGAGCTGCAGGTTGCAGATCATGGTGCCTGGAGGATGCCCTCACACTGCTGAGAGGTGGTAAGTCGGCACAGACCTTGTGGGGGACAGCTGCCTCTGGCTCAGTAATCTCTCCCCACACTCCTCAGCAGATGCATCCTCACGCTTTCCGGATGATCCGCCCTGGTTTCCTCCAGTCCCTGTACCTCTCCCTGCGCACAGAATGGACCAGAGGCCTGGAGAAGCTGGAGTGGTTTGATCTGGTGGTGTTGCTAGTGAGGAACAAAGTGAGATATTGTTACTGGTGTGGGTCAGAGCCGGGGCACTAGTGAAGGCTCCTAAAAGGACAGGGAATTTTGGTCAGCAGAATGTGATTCACCACTGCTGCTGTCAAGAGAAGGGCTAGTGCTAGATCCCACTGCAGCTCCTGATGCTCAAGGTGCCTGGACTGCAGAGACCCAGGGGTGAGCACCCGAAGTGGCAGTGGGAACCCTCCCTGTCCCAACTACTGAAGGTCTTGGAAACACTAAACTACTCACTCCCAGTGTATGAGACTTAACCCAGAGCCAACATTTCCAAAGTGTCATGACTTCTGGGTGCTCTGGTGGAGGCAAGTTCTCCTGTCAGCTCAGGACCTGACGGCCTGTCAGAGCCCCAAGGACTGTCCCCTCTGGCCAGATGGGTAACTGAAAGCAAACCCCTTAGCTCTTCAAAACTTCCACTTCAAACACTTCTAAGCAATTTTCCTTAAAACCACCAAACCCAACATCATGCACACCTAGCACTTCTCTGGGCTTCTGCCACCCTATTACAGCCTACATTCTCTCAGGAGTTATCCAGGGCGCAAACCAACCAACCATGCCATGAACCAACCACACCATGATCAACCACACCATGTGCAGGGATGCCCAGAACAGTTAGCAGAGCTGGCTCAGCTGAAGGACTAGCGGGGCTGTGTTCACCTAGGGCTCTTCTGCAGTGACTTAATGCCCAAGCCCACTTGCCCTGGGCATTTCTACTCTCCCAAGGCACTGAGTCCCAGGTTTTTCTTTCCTTCCTCATGGCTAACACCTTCACTACCCATTTTTTTATCTAGCTTTTCTAAAGATTGCAAAGGACTGGCATGATGAACGTGAACATTATCCTGCCAGTGCAGAGGGTGATATGGGGCACAACACAGCAGATTGGAGGAATTTGCAGAGAAATTCGTATGGGTTGAAGTGTGACCCCTCCCCATCCCTGCAAAAAGGATGGTGCAATGGGGATCTCTGTGGCTGGCAATTAGAGATCTCTCCTCTTTCTAGATCCTGCTCAGACGTTCCTCCTGTGATCTCCAGTGGTTTTGTCAATAAAAGTCATTTAGATATCATTTCCTCCCGTGCCCGTAAGTGGTGGAGGGGGACAGTGAGGAAAGGCTGGTGGAGAGCAGAAGTGACGTGGGATGCCAGAAGTGGCTGATGAATGGAGGCAGGGAGTGGGGGAGCCGCCAGCCACTCCAGGAGCGGAGGAAGACAGAGCTGGGGAAAAGCTGCGAATGTGAGAAAAAGCTGCTTTACAACACAGCTTGTTACTATTCAACATCCACAAAAGGAGGAAGAGCCCTGAAATCCCTGCCTGTGCTGAGGCTACAGTCAAGAGACAGTTCTCTCATGTCCTAATTAGCTGGCTGCTTTATAACTTAATTTCCTAATTGGTTTTCAAGTTAATTACTCTTATCAAACAGGCTGGGGAGGTGGCAGCTCAGGCCCTGTGGCAGGAGATGAAGCTTCACCTCTACAGCATAGGCCCAGTTCCAGGCCATGCTGGGAAGCAAGGTGGCCTTATACCCATCTCTTCCAAGGAGGTCTGCCTTGTTTTCTCTGGTTTAAGCTCTTACAGGAAGGTTTTGGGTGCCTTCCTGGGCAATGTCTGCAAATCCATTAATTAAAGCAAATAATCCTGGGATCTCAGATTGCTCCAGGCCCTTGCCCTCATTCCTCCCAGCTGGGGATGCACCCAGCAGTGAGAGGTGGTTCGATGGCTGTGTGCAGAGTGGGAGCAGCCATCACACTCCACTGCCACTGACACCAGGGCTGGGCTCAGCTGGGTGCCCCAGATCCGTGTGGATGTGGGTGTACAGTCACTTGCTGTCGATTAAATCAAAGCCAATATTGCGGTTTTCTTTATGTTCTCATTCTGGTGCTGTATCAGCTGTGACAGGACAGGTGATTCTCAGGCCAGTTTGCCACGAACAGATGGTACCTGGTCCAGCATTAAACCAACTGGTGTGAACCTCACTTCTGAGCTGGCTTTGTGCCATGGTGCTCCTGACCTGGTGCAAGGCACGAGGAAGCTTGAGCTTGTACTGCTGAGCCATGGCTTCAACTCTTTGGAGAACCAGTGACATATGTCACAAACATTTCTGAGCATTGTCTAAGCCCAAGGCTATGATGAGGTGAACACCTGGCTACAGCTGTGCTCTCTGAGCACTGGGAAAACTGGTCTTGAGGGCTCATCACTCACTTCAGCATAACATTGCAGCAGGGGTGTACGAGCCCAGGCTACCTCACAGAATCATTCAGGTTGGAAAATCATTGAGTTCAACCCTCAGCCCGACTCTACAAAGTTCTCCCCTACCCCACATCCCCCAACATCTCATCTAAACAACCCTTAAACACACCCAGGGATGGTGACTCCACCCTCTCCCTGGGCAGCCTGTTCCACTCTCTGACCACTCTTTCTGTGAAAAATTTTTTCCTAATGTCCAGTCTGAACCTCCCCTGTTGCAGTTTAAATCAGAATCAGGGTGTCCAGGCAGGACAATCCACTAAGAGGATCCCAATTAATCCTGTAATTTTCCCATTCTCCAGGTGACAGTTTCCCCTGTTTATGGTGCAATCTGTGAACAATTCCTGTGATACATACAGACCCGGTAGCTCTGCTTTCCCAAACTGGCTGGAGTCAGCTGGAGGAGCAGCAGGAGCAGGTATCAGGGCAGGGACAGGCTGGGCACGGCCTCCTGTGACAGCGGGCAGGGTGGGCTGCACCTCCAGCTCTGATGGAGATGGCTAGGATGCCCCCAGGGTGCAGGACCCTGCACAAATCATCCAGCTTGGTCCCACCTCCCCAGACGAGTCTGGGTTAGATGGAAACCCCTAGAGCTTTTTGGTTTTGATGGGTTACCTAATTCCCTTAGGTTCTCTTAAAAAAAAAAAAAAAAAATTAGTCCTATGACATCATCCTGGCTGCTTGATGCAAGTTGTTTGGTGGCCATTAGTAAACAAAATGATTCCATTAGCTTTTCTGCACTGCATCCTATTTCTAGCATTAGGGTACCTCAGACCTCAGTTATCGTCCAATGCCTCCCTGCACTCCTCCTTGAAGACAGAGAGGAAATCTGCCTCTGACCTCAATTACAATCCAGCCAGCCCTATCGCTTTCAAGCTATTTCTGCACTGGAGCTGTCTCCACCCATGGCTGCGTTCCCAGTGCTAATCATTTTACTTGTACAACTAGACAGCACAAGGTGCAGTTCAGCTTTGCTGGTCTGGAAATTCAGCCAGTGAATTTATCCCTGAACTGCAGACGAAGAGACTGGTATCTGCTGGCTACTGATTTTCAGCAAGCCACGGGTGCATCCTCACACCACGGCTCTCGTTTGGTGGTCTCATCTATGCAGACGGCTTTTTGGGGTATGGGGTGTGTGCAGCACCCAGCACAGCGGGGCTGGGATTGCAGCTGGGATTACCACACGTCAGAGGATTAGGGTAAGGAGCGAGCTGTGAGCTCTGCGCACTCGTACTGCAGCTGTCAGACCTAGAGCAAACTGGGTCACATGCATCTTTTTAGGTCCAAAGCTACAGGGTGTTGGTGTGCCATTGCCTGAGATCTGGAAGGAGGTTAATTTTCGGTCCCAGGGTGTGAGTCGCTAATCACGCAGCCAATGGATAGCTGTCAAGATATCTTTCATCATAAGATCTCAAAAATATTGAGATCACCATTACCCCAAGCGCTATTACAAGTGAACAACATGTAAACAACATTTACAGAAACATATCTGAATTTTAAGGACATGCAGCATTTTTCTTTTATGTGTCTATTGCTTCAGCTCGTTTTTGTTGTTGGGCAGAAAATAAGGGATTAGTGTAGTGGGCACAGCCCAGAGAGTAGGAGGAGACGGCAAGATAGTGACATGCACACTAGTGATTTAACATGAAATACTCTGATTGCAAAGAGTCTCTAGAGGTTTGTGCCTCATTGATGAATATCACGCATGAAGAGTAGCTCCTTGTGCTACCTACATTTTGTCTTCCAGGTATGTTGATTTGAAACCCGAGTCACAGGAAATATGCTGAGTTACAGCACATTTCCACAAAAAAAAAAAACCCAACAACCTAATCCCAAGCATATTTATCTGCAAGTGTGTCAAATGCAGAGTAGTTCAGACAATACAGGCTCAGAAGATTAACAGACCCTAATCCTACCTCTGTGCATTAATATACAGCAGATGATACACACATACACATCTATAGAGACTGACATACATACACAAAAGGCAATCTTCCCCATCAAAACATACCTGAGCCATTTACTTTTTGGAAACATAATAGGCATTAACTCACCTAGAAGACCAAACTGGACCCGCCTGCTTCTTCGGCTTGGCTATCTGCTTCTGGTACTCCATCCAGCCACTCACCAGCTCGTGAAGGATCATCATGTAGAGAAGGAAAATAAGAATCCTGGGATCCATTCGTGGCACTTCGGTGTCTGCTTCATTGGGTACAGGTGACATTTGAATGAGAGCAATGAGAGGTCAGCTGGAGGGGTGCAGCTCCTGCAGACAGGGCTCTCGGGAACAAGGGGAGCTGGAGGGATGAAGAGGGCACTGCTGAAGAGGAGCCTTGCAGGCTGGGTTTTGTGCAGAGTGAATTAATGCTGTAAAAATCTCCCGGGAGGATGAGAGGCTGGTGCCTATTGCATGAAGCAGCATAAACACAGCTGCAGAGGCTACCGACAGTTCCTTTAACAGAGTGGATCACATCTTCTGGGACTCCACGTCCCTTTTGTCTCCCTCTCACTTGTGCTTTGTCCGCATTACTCTGCAGCCATGAGCTTCCTACACTTTTATCGCAGGAGCAGCCCCGCTTCGGCAGCGCCCCTTTGATTGGCGGTGGGGGGGGAGAGTTGGCTGCTGTGCCCGCAAGTCGGCAACGGGAGCACTGTCTGGCTGCAAAGAATAAATTAAAAACCTCAGTCAATGACAAGGGAATCTCCGAGCTGTCTCTTCCCAGTGTCTCAGGATTTTGGGCTGCACTGAGCCAATGTTGATTGGGAGTCTTACAGAGTATTTTACAGCTGAGAAATCTCCTCTTCTGCTCGCTTTTCTCACACTCTTATTTTGTTCTCCTTGTTATTATTCCTTACCTAAATCTTCAGCTGCTGTTTTCCCAGTGGTAAAGCTCTGGTGGGGGACCTGATGTGCAGGAAACCCCTGATGCCACAGTTTCCAGTCTTTTACACACCAGAGCTCCTCTCTAGCCTCTCCATCTCTTTCTGTTTAGCAGTGTAGGATATCGCTCAACTGAGTTCTGGTTTTGACACCAGATCCCCCTGGCCTCACCCTTCCTTCCCCCATTGAGAACCCCAGGACACAATGCAATACACAACCCAGGTATTTCTAGCAGGAAAAAGCATAGCCCAGTCTTATTTAGACACTTGTATAAATAAAATAAAATTTTTTTAAAAAAGCTCTTTTTAAATAATTTAAATCAAGCCTTATCAGTGTCTTGTTTTTTTAAGACCATCTTACATAAAATTTCTATTATTCCTGTGAAATCTTCCCATAAGTGAAAGAATAAGCCCTGAACAACTATTTAATTACCTGGATCATCTAGAAGCAAGAAGACAGATTGAACAACCTACCTTTGCTCAATGGAGCTGTGCCAATTCAGTGCAGAAAAGGAGGCCCAGATGAGGGGCAGATACAGTCACCCTTGTGATCTCCAACTCCACAGCTCCTACATAAAGATATGGATTGCTGGGCTCGCTCTCTAACATGGGGCAGGGTTCAATACACTGGTCACTGTAATTCTTCAAGGACAGGCGTGACAGCCACGTAATACACAATCTCACAACAAACTTAACAATGAGGAAGATTCTTCTCAGCTAACTCAGGTTACATTACCTGCGGGTTTAACACCTGAGGTTAGATGTTTCTCAGAAACTTTCACACTTTGGCATATAACCACAGATAAGCATGCAGAAGCCAGGGATTTTGAGTTTTCTATTAAGTACAAATTTCATACACATTAGGGGATGCTAATTACACTCTGTGTGTGTATATTAAACACAACAGCAGTATCACGTCCCAGTCAAATGTGCACCTCAAAGTCCTGAATGAATTTCCTTCAGCTAACGAATGCTCTTTCATTTATAAGTCCAGAAGTGCTGAGTAACTCTCTAAATCGGGAGGAGAAGATCTCATGGACAGGAGTGATCAAGTGAATGAAGCAAGCAAGGACGGGAGGTGTTCTAGCAGCTACGAAAATGGGAATACTTAAGGTTCTCCATGAAAGGATAGTGGAGCTGTTGCTATAGCAACAGAGACAGTTGCCAGGCTGCAGGAGATGGATTCTGATGTATGGCACAAGTCATACATAGTGAGGGATTTTAGACTAAAGACAACACTGATATTTTATACATACGCAATTTTCAGTGAGTAAAAGCAACGTGACTCCTTTGTTTTGGGGGAGAGCAACTTTTTACACAAAATCAAAGAGAGAAATTACTTGGCTAAGAGTGGCAAGATAACTCATTACAACTTAATCCTAGGTTTGTGTTAGGTGCTCCATCTTATAAACACAAAATCACTTTAAAAAAATCCGCCTGTTGCTGAACATTTCAGATTGATTGACTATCGCTCCTTTTAAAATCTCAACTTACTGCAGACTGCCTCTGCCCTGCCTCTGTTCTTTTACCATCCTCAATACCCCAGAAAATATCACCTAGGTCTGAAAAACTTCTTGAGTCTTAAAAAAGTTACTTTAACACACAATTTTTGTTAAAAATTTTACCAATTCATCCTTAATACTACATAAGTTAAAAAAGCCAACATGAGTTATTGCCAGAGCCAGCAGCTATTAATACAGCAGCTGTTTTCCAAACAGCTTGGTGACTAGTCACAGGCAGCAAGTTCTTTGTCAAATGATTCAAAAAAGGAACTGTCGGTAGCCTCTGCAGCTGTGTTTATGCTGCTTCATGCAATAGGCACCAGCCTCTCATCCTCCCGGGAGATTTTTACAGCATTAATTCACTCTGCACAAAACCCAGCCTGCAAGGCTCCTCTTCAGCAGTGCCCTCTTCATCCCTCCAGCTCCCCTTGTTCCCGAGAGCCCTGTCTGCAGGAGCTGCACCCCTCCAGCTGACCTCTCATTGCTCTCATTCAAATGTCACCTGTACCCAATGAAGCAGACACCGAAGTGCCACGAATGGATCCCAGGATTCTTATTTTCCTTCTCTACATGATGATCCTTCACGAGCTGGTGAGTGGCTGGATGGAGTACCAGAAGCAGATAGCCAAGCCGAAGAAGCAGGCGGGTCCAGTTTGGTCTTCTAGGTGAGTTAATGCCTATTATGTTTCCAAAAAGTAAATGGCTCAGGTATGTTTTGATGGGGAAGATTGCCTTTTGTGTATGTATGTCAGTCTCTATAGATGTGTATGTGTGTATCATCTGCTGTATATTAATGCACAGAGGTAGGATTAGGGTCTGTTAATCTTCTGAGCCTGTATTGTCTGAACTACTCTGCATTTGACACACTTGCAGATAAATATGCTTGGGATTAGGTTGTTGGGTTTTTTTTTTTTGTGGAAATGTGCTGTAACTCAGCATATTTCCTGTGACTCAGGTTTCAAATCAACATACCTTGAAGACAAAATGTAGGTAGCACAAGGAGCTACTCTTCATGCGTGATATTCATCAATGAGGCACAAACCTCTAGAGACTCTTTGCAATCAGAGTATTTCATGTTAAATCACTAGTGTGCATGTCACTATCTTGCCGTCTCCTCCTACTCT